CTGTGCCACCAATCAATTAATTGAATTTAAATAATTGCAATTAATTGCCTTCACAATCAATTATTCGGTAGGCCTGCTTGTGATATCATAAAAGATCATTGTTACTCCTAACTCGGGACTTCCCAAATGGGTTTTCGGTTATGCCGGTTCTTCGGGTTTATTGCACCATTGCTTCCATTACTAGATGGTGTGACCGAAGTTACAGATTAGATCTAACTGATATACATTAGCTATCAACTGAACACAAGCCTATTTTTCAAATATCGTCGTCTGTAGAATTCGAACTCTAGACCTGCCACTTAGAGAGGGTGACGACTAGACCACTACACTAAGTCGCCACACCTTGGATTATGTCTTTTGCAAAAGATGTTTTTACATGCTTTTATAATTTTTTTTTGCTAATACTAACTATCCTTAAACTGTTTACTGGCTCTATTATGCAAAATGATTTTATGCATAACAATTTATGCATAACAATTATATATATAACGAATTTATGTATAATAAAAATAATAAATATCAAATAAATAAATAAATAAATAAAGAAAAATCTACTAAAGAAAAATAATCTTAGTAGTGGCCATGACGCAAAGGGTTTAACTATGTCATGTGACCACATGACTACCACGAAACATTGAGCCTGAAAATATTATTATTTTACAATATGTTTTAAATATACTATTGTATATATAAAGTATACCCTATATCATTAATATTTTTTAATTTTATTTAAAAAATTGTAAATACTTTTCAAAATTCCAGGCAAATTTGCCTGAAAAACAGTTGAAGAAATAGTTAAATTGAAATTAGTATTTACAGTATATCTATTAATTTAATTAACTATATATATTACAACTAGCCTTAGAACTATCATCCTCAAGATAAATCTGACACCGCATTACATGTCCTACATATGATAGTACATGCTTATTCAGTAATTACTTCCCAATTAGTACCTACTGTTTGCCATAATTGTGTTTGTATCTCAAGCCACCTTTTGGGGTGCTGCTATAATACAATCTGTATCTCAAGCACAACCTTTCTAATTAGTCCTTCATTATATACTCCTGCCTTTGTAAAGTTTACAACAACCCCAGTATTCACATTCTAGTCATTTTCTTACCTGGATTATTTATTGATCTCTCCCTTACTTCTAGCTAGCAATCTGGATAGTAGTGTTTCAAATCGTTAGTTGAAAAACCAACTAGTTAATAACTTTCTAACTAATCAGTTTGAAAAATTTTTAAACAACTAACCAACTAATTATTTAATTAATATAATTCTGAGATATTCCGCTTATTCGGAATAATTCTGAATAATCTCTTGGATTTGATTGGCTAATATCTGAAAATATTACACGATATATGTAACTTTTAACAATTTGGAACACTACCGGATGGGTTAGTCTGCCCAGGCTTTTAAATGCCTGAAGGATACCCTCCTCTTGGTCTGTACTTTCAGAGTATATAGCCTTTTCCTCTGGTGCATCTAAACTGGCAGTTTGGCTAATGTGTTACCTATTAAAGGACTTGATTACTTAGTTCTCCAATTTCAGACCCCAGCTCAAATTCAGCCTTTATGTAGTACTGTTAAAAATTACTGCTACTTCCAACTTGAACTTCCCAAATAAGCTTTCTGTACAGTGAAGAACAATTCTCAAAATTTATACAATTATGGACTTATTAAGTATTTGTACTACTCTAAACTAGTTAGCATTCCTTTGTAGTTCCTGGTTTCTCCAGTTGTACAAATGCTAGTGAATCTCCAAGATCACTTCTTAGTGCAACTCAAGTTACAGATCTTCAATTCAAGATCCAATCATTTTATACAAATTACTGTACCACAGGCCTATTTTTCAAAGTTGTCAACCATGGGATTTGAACTCTAGACCTGCCACTTGGAGAGAGTGACAACTAAACCACTTTACTAAGCCGCTACACTATATATAAATAATTTTATAAGACAAACAATAAAAGAAAAATTTATATATAAATAATACTCTGGAATATAATCTATTTTATATTAGTAATATTATTCCAAAGTACTTACTCCTATTTGATATTTTAGTAATCCAAGGTGGCATTATGTCTAAATTACACTGGTATGAAGTGAGTTATACTCCACATTTACTTCAAAGTATCTTACTCTATTAACATCCCTAATCTGATATATTAAGAGTAAAAGATATATTATATGATTTTAGTATCACAATTTTATTCTTTTGAAAATTAAATTTATTTTATTAAAAGTAGGGTGTATATTGATCAATTTTCATATAATTTACATAGTATATTAGATTTTTATATAGTAATAAAACTTTTTAATATCTTAACTAATTTGTATCAAATTTATACAATATGTAATTTAAAATAGTTTGTTTATAATAATAAAGTTGTATAATATGTATTGTTTTAAAAAAAATTAACTTTACATATAACTAAAAATTTCTCTAGATGCTATATAGTTTTCCCTAGTTATACAAAGAATTACTAATTATAATTGGTCAAATTATATGTAAATTATATAATACTATATAATATTAGCTGATCTACAATCTACAGTATTTTATATGAATTCGAAAATAGTTACACTCTACTCTTAAGTAAACTGTTTTTTAAAATTAAATGAAAGCTGTAGAGTAGGGTTTTCTGATTCTAATAGTAGTAAATTCATTTAAATTAGTTAAATATTCATTGAGATACATGTATTTAAAGTTAGATATTAATTTTTATTATATAATGATTATATGAACCAATCAGAATTGATAATCTTGTGTAATCCCGGAAATTTTGAAGACACCCCGGAAACTTTACTGTATATACAAGTCTATTTTTTTTAAATATTTTATTTATTAAATTTTTTACTATTATAAAAATTAATTTTAACAGTAAAAAGTCTTATTAATAGTATATTCCTATTTTTGCAAAAATCACATTGTGACACTAAGATCATAAGAAAAATGATCAGCATACCCTTACCCTTAATGATTTAAAAAAAAACCCCGGAAACCCGATAGGTCTCCGGTTTTTGTCCAACTACATAGTTCCCGATATCGGGAATAGTTCCCTCAAAATATTCTGACATCAAACATGTCTCTACTAGCCTTTGTGTTGTTTGTGTTACTGGTTTGAAATGTTCAGTAGAGGCACCACTTAAATCTGAAAGTAAATTATAAATCTGACGCTGTTTGTAACGACGCTGACATAACTGTGTATTGGTAATAAGTGGATATAGTACTCGAAGATACGTATGTCGAAGCTAAAAAAAAAAGATTTATATAAAGTAAATAAGATACTCATATGTCATAAAAAAAAAAATACAAAATTCTTACCGCTTCACTTTCCTCTGGTAAATTATAAAGTTCCCGAATGAAAACGTCAATCACCACATGTAAGTCATTTGTATAAAAATATTCGGTTGTTTCTGGCGTAGTGAACACCTCATATAGCAATTTTAGAATAAGCATTTGTATTTGCGGTTCAACTTTTTTTTTAAATAATCATAGTTAATACTTTTTTTAAAAAATAAAGGTTGAATTAGGGATGTTACGGTCCGGTCTTGGTCCCAGAGGACCGCGGACTGGACCGTGGTCCAGGACCGGTCCATAAACCGGCCCATAAATCGGTCTATTGGCTGGTTTTCAAAAATAAG